GGCAAGACCTCGGGCCCGTCCGCAGACACCTGCGTCCGTGCGGGGCTCCCGCTTTTCGGAGACAGCCGCTCGGGGCGCCTAAGCCGCCGGCCAGGCGGGAGCCACAGGCCGGGACAGCCCTTCGCTCCGAGCCACGCTGCCCCCGTTACTCTGAAGGGAGAGCGCGGCTTTTCCCTTAGACGCGAATTTTCTCTCTTTAAAGTTTTAACGCCAGCTTTACTGAACTTTAAAGACACTGAATTAAATCCACAAGAGTGAGACGTCGCAGACCTTTGCTGACACTACAACTTTTGTTTTCCGGTGGCCAAAATACCCCAACACCTATTGCACTTATGAATTCAAAACTGCTGATGAAAGCCTCCCACTCGTGAAGATATAATATCCTATATGGCCACATATTTGGACTCATTCTGAATTTAGGTATTTTAGTGAACTTGATTTTTTAATTTAACTCCTTTCACAGCCAGGCTAACAGTCAAAATGAATAATTTCTGTCTTCCTTTCAAATACTTCTGGATAAGGGATTCAAAAGAACTAAAACTGTTTTTGTTTGATGCAATATAAAATATGGAATTGATCTTTCCGGGGTCAGAGATGATGAATGTTTCTGACACATACTTTTATACATTATTTTCTTATCAAACTAGTTAACAAGTATTTTTATATGTTTGTAAGCAAAGATACTTTCACAGCATATCTTGTGTACATGTAAAGATAAGTATTTAATTCTCACTATTCACTTTTAACTGACAAAGAAGAAAAGTGGAAACTACCGAAACCATGGCAGAACTTGTACTTGCTGGTCTGGTCTTGGTAATACCCACCTTTGGCCAGTCACATGTCTACTCAAGAAACCTTCCCAACAGAACACAACAAGATGCGACTCCGAAATCACTTTCCATCTTTCCTACTAGAGAATGACTGTTATACCAAGTATTAAGGGTAAAACTTTTCATTGACAATTAGTATAACTGTGGATGGCTTTTGATTTTGCTTTTAATTCTGTGGACTGTATTTAAACAATTCCAAAGTGTGTTCCTGATTTTAAGATACTAAGTGGTATTGCACAGTTATCGCTTTATTGAATGTGTACAACAGTCCCATGAAGTTTATAAAGCATACCCTTGTATAGCTCCAGGTGCTAGAATTAAATTGATCTGTTACCACAAAAAAAAAAAGAAAAAAGAAAAGAAAAGAAATCAGGCCACAAACAAGCAGCTTCTGGAGGAGAGTTTTGTTTTGCCCACCCATTATTTTTTTTCAAAAGTAAGAAAACCAGGAAAGCTCAGATTTCCAGCTTCTCTTGAAGAGTCTGCCTACACTGGGAGCAGCTGGCCTGGGCACACCTGCCCCCCTTCGTCACCTGCTGTCCTCATTCCCTCCTGCAGAGTCCTGGCAGGAACCTGGCTTTGCAATTCCTACTTTATAGAGGGTGGAAAGGAAACAAACTCATACAAATGCCAGAATTTGAAACAAGAGACAGAAAAGTCGGGAAAAAATTACACTCGTAAGTGAGAAAAAGAATAACGGCAAAGAGGCTTCCAATTGTGTCTATGAGCCTCTAACTCTCAGAGCAGGTGTTGTGTAGAGGACGTCACCTGGCTGATACTAGGGAAGTAATTACAATCTCTTGCCAACCCAGAAAACCTAGCCACAGGAAAGGAAGAGGAAGGAAACAATTTTATTGCTGAATAAGCATTAAGCTGGCTGGATGCACAACCACAGGCAATTTGCTAAAAGACAGCAGAGACAGAACTCTCGTCCTTCAGCAGAGCCAAGTAGATACATTCCAGTCCACACGTGTTCCCAAGACCAAATAACTAGCCACAAAGATGCTTTTCTTGGCCAAACTTGAGTCAGGCTCATTTGACACCGACCAGCCCCCAATCTTGGGCTCATCCTCCAAGTGCCCAATTTTAGCAAGAATCTTGCTAAGTCATTTTAGCCAGAATCCCTCACTTTGACAGCTCATTACCCTTCATATCTGTTCAAAACCCTCACCCTCCACCTTCCCCAGGTAATACGGGACCACCTTGGCCTGCCTTCAGCAGAAATTCTGTTAGGTCAGTTCAGCCAGGATACCTCTCCTCTCCCCCTGATGTTTCCTCTCAGGAACTTTCCATTCACTGACCGACCCCCCAACACACGTACATACCCTGGTCTTTGGCTATAAAATCCCACTAGAAACCCCTTTTCCTTGCTGTATTCCGAGTTAAGATCCAATCTCTCTGTAAACTCCATCAAAGTGGCACCTATACCTATCACGACAGTCCTGAACAAAGTTGACCTCACCATTTTAGCAAGCACTGTTTAATACTTTTTTCTTTAACAGTAATCCTCAAATAGGAGAACTTTACAACACCATTTGTTACACATAGTTTATCCTAAATTTACTTGGTAATTGGGGTGTGTTAACTAATTAATTGCCTTTATCCAAAATACTAATAAAACTTCTCCCATCTCTTGGACAGGTAGGTAGTTACTAATGGGAAACAGACTCCTAAGTTAAACTCTCATGAGACTGGGAGATAGGGGTGTTGTCTTCTTTGATGGTGATATTGGAAGGGGTAACTCTAGGCCCCTAAAGAAAAATACTCCTAAGCTGTAGAACTGGCTTATTTGGCCTTTAAAAAGATTTACACTCATTACAAAGGGGAAGACAGAGAATTTACAAATTTTATAATGGAAAAACTAGAAGGAAAGGGGAAAGTCTCCGTTTTTGCATCAAGGACAATTAAATTTTTCCTTATTTGTTATTTCTCTTTACCCTTACAAGAACAGCAGTTCAGCTTTCATGAACTATGGCACATTCACTTTTATGGGACGTATTTTCCTCACAGAAGTATCTTCTAACAGTAATTAAGAAACTATCAGAAAATGAAGATAGTTCCCTACCTTCATAACTTCCTCAAGATACCGTGTTGAACTTCCATTTGCATATGCAGTCTGTACAACACCAATATCCAGACTTTCTCCAATCTAGGCAAAAACAAAGATACTGAGCTTACCATCAAAAGTATGAAGTATACACAGGCAAACTATGAGTTCTAAAGGATAACAAAATTATCAACCAGTTCAACTGTGCTGTAGTTTATGCAATAAATGACTAAAAATGTACATGTATACCAGAAAAAAAATCTGAAATTTATTGGAATTCTTAGAGAAATTCTATAAGAAGTCCTCTTTTAAGGTGCCTGATCTTTATCCCTTTAATTTTTTTAATAAACGGATTTATTGAATTTTTTTATACCCCCATCCCTCCCCATTGAATTCTTAAAGTATACCTTTTCCAGATTGTAATAATTATTTCCAATTATATCCTATACCTAACTCTAGGTTGAAAGAGATTTTCAAAAGAGCAAAACAAATCTCATTACTATGCTTATCATGATCATAGTTAATAAATCCCTCAGATGATGAGATTTCCTGTTAGAATTTGGGGCTTTGGGGAGTGATCGTGGAACTCTCACTGAAGTGTCAGTTATGAAGAGAGCAAAACTGCATAAAGCTTCATATCATCAAACAGCCAGTATAAGGAGGAAAAAAAGAGTATCTTTGGAAACCAGCACCAATGCCCCAGTGTTGAGAGGACTGGAATTACCATTTGTCTGTTTTAATTTTCTGGCCATAAACGCAAGGAACTTCTCATCTAGTGGGTCCGTGTGGCACTCAATTACGGAATGATTTCACTACCAAGTCTTGTTTCACAGGGTGGCCGATCAACCCACCGTACCTCCACCAGGAGCTCTTTGAGGAAACTGCTAATTAACGTTGCGATCTTGTCTCCATCTATGAGATGAAAGTGACCATCTGCATCATGGTAGTAATAAACAATTCTGTCTGCATCTCCATCCAAGGAACAGCATCGTTCATTGGCCTTCATTTCCATTCCTAGCACACAGGATAATCGGACATGCATTACAACCTAAGAAACGATAATAGGCCGGGAGCAGCGGCTTATATACCTGTAATCCCAGCATTTTGGAAGACGGAGGCGAGAAGACTGCCTGAGCCCAAGGGTTTAAGACCAGCCTGGGCAACCTGGTGACATCTCGTCTCACTAAAATAAATTAAAAAATTAGCTGGGCGTGGTGGCATACCTGTAGTTCCTGCTGCTTGGAAGGCTGAGGTAGAAGGATCACTTGAGCCCAGCAGGTGGAGGCTGCAGTGGCTGTGAGCATGCCACTGCACTCCAGCCTGGGCGGCAGAGTGAGACTCAAACTCAAAAAAAAAAGAAAGAAAGAAAGAATAAAACCCAATATAAAAGGGTTTCCCTTGAAATTATCCTTCCATAAAAATCAATGTCTTAATCTTTAAATAATGGACAGTTTAATAGGTGGTTTTTACAGATCAAGTTCTTCCACAGCAAAGTGAATAAGGAGCATTCAAAATCTATGCTGCAACTTGCTATAATACTAAAAAAAATTCCATTTTTTAAGCCAGTTGGTTTGGCTAGATCAGTTTCTCACAAAATTTTTTTGAAAACGACAGGTATTTCTGAATGCAACGTACCCGGTACTGGTTCTCTTTTACATTTAAAAAATAATCAGCACTAGATGAAGCATGAGCTTTAATTCTTTTTTTTTTTTTTTTTTTGAGTTGGAGTCTCACTCTGTCGCCCAGACTGGAGTGCAGTGGCCGCTCCCGGCCACCGCAGCCTCGACCTGCTGGGCTCCGGCGATCCTTCCGCCTCCGCCTTCCGAGTAGCCGGAATTACAGGTGCGCGCTACCACGCCCAGCTGATTTTTTGATTTATTGTAGAGATGAGGTCTCGCTGCCCAGGCGGGTCTCGAACCCGCGGGCTCAGGCAATCCACTCACCTCAGCCTCCCAGAGGCGCGGGATTACAGGCTGAGCCACCGAGCCTGGCTCAGCTTTAATTCTAATAGAAGTGGTTTGTTCACACCACCAAGAAGAAACTCTGGTAATTAACAGCAAAGGATGATAACCTATGAGAGATCACTGGCTTGTGAAATTTGCATGAAGCTACTGAAACCTCAGCAATTCCCGCATCAAATTTATTAGAAAACGTTCCTTAGCCTGAAAGCAGCAAAGTGACAGATCCAACCTGAGGCAACTAAGTGAACAGCTTTTGTCAGGAATGCGATTATAGAGTTGACTGAAGGACACAACGCAAGCTTCCGGGAAGCGAGGGCTATGGTTTTGGTTTTCTGGATTTTTCTCCATATGTATTTTAGATTCAGGGATACGTGTGCATGTCTGTTACATGGACGTACTGCGTCATGGTGGGAACTGGGTCTCTGGTGGTCCCTTCGCCAGAAAGTGAGCACCCACAGGTACAATTTCTGAGCCCTAACCCCACAGGGGTTATGGCTCTCCTCACACTGTAGTCCTAGTGCTTGAAACACAAAAAAATAAGAGCTCAGTATCTAGAGAACAGATGGACGAATGAGTGACACAGAACTGTCAGTAAAGCAAATGTCAAACGAGCAAGTCAATGAAACGGGGCTCAACCGGTTGATTTACACTGAAGCTTACTACAGTGAGGCTGAATAACATGAACGGAGGAGGCAACTGGAGGAAATCTGCAGAGTTCTCAGATGCATGTCCTGTTTAGAGGGGGCAGCAGCTAGCTCAGCAGATTAATGCCAGGTACAAATAGACATTTTCTGATTTTGGTAAAGAGATGCCAGAGACGCCAATGTAAGAAGACATGCAATTTGTAAACAGTGGCACACAGATACACACACAGCAGGTCAAATAAAACACATCTGTGGGCCAGGTTTTGCCACAGGCTAACAACTTAGGATCTGCAGATAAATCCAGAACACCTCTTACTAAGCTAAAACTTAGAGAAAAGTCTTCTTCCTCATCTGTCCACAGTGAGAAACACTGATTCTGCTGACAGTTTTATAAGTAGACTAACATTCACTTTCCAGGGTATATCTAATTCAGATAAGGTATCTAATAATACTCTAATGCTGGTATCCTCTAGATCAGTGATTCTCAAAGAGAGATCCCCAAACCAGCACCATCAACAAAGTCTGCGAACTTTTCTATCCTAGGCAAATCCTACCCTAGACTTCCTGAATTAGACGCTCAGGCGTGGAGCCCAGGAATCTGTGTGTAACGAGTCCTCAAGGCAATTCTGACACATGCTCAGGTTTGAGAGCCATGGCTCTCAAAGGCCAGTCTCTGATTCTGATTTCCCCACCTGATTTTCTATCAACTATAAGGCATGCAGTGAATTACAGGCAGAGAGCAGACCACATTTTAAATGGCACTGAGAGTAGAAAGATTCTTGAATGGCTAAATGTGACAAAGCCAGGACTGCTGCATGATTCTCAACTCACTGGCCACCTCAGTGTGTGAGACTGGGTTCAAAGAGCTCCCAAAGCAAATGTCTGCCGTGCTCCTGCTGTGCTACCCACCGTGCGGAGGTTTCTGATGACCTTTCACGAAATCGGCCCCACATAAGTGATTGAGTTTCCCTCTGGTCCCATCGTTGAACAGTTGGACTGAGAGCCCCTGGGAAAAGTAGTGCTTCATTTCCCTTAGCTTCAGGGCCCCAATGCCATTTGCACAGTCGACCTTCAGCGACCTGTAGCCATCTCCACTGCAGGAAGCCTCCGAAGAAAAGGGACAGGAGGAAAAGTTCAAGTTATAAAAGTGAAATGTAAAGCACGTATATGTATACATGCAAACACCTATTACTTCAGTTAACTCATCTATGTAAAACAATTGTAATGTACAAATTGTAGAACACTTGGATCCTGGAAGTTTCACTAATTGAGACGCTTACAGAAATAGAGCTGTATTAGAATTTAGACTCAAATAAGCAGGGCCCTTAAAACTAATATTACAGTCTATTGTACATGGCAGTCATTCAAGAGTGGGAATATGCAGACAGACAGTGAGTAGTAAAGACATCTGTCATCCGCTTCACGGCGATGACACCACCAGGAGTATCCAGGATTTTCTGAACTGTCAGTGTCCTCTCCCAATCATCCTCACTCAAAATCTAAGTTCTACAAGAGCAAGGGCTTGGTTCTGCTGAATTGTGCCTGACAGTGACACACACTCAATACCCAGTGGTCAAATGAATCATATCCATCAAATCTCTCCAGGCTTAACAAGTCAGTACACCTAGAAGAAAATCTTTCTCAACAGTGGGTGCTGCAAAAACTAAGCCAACAGCACTTGCGTTAACTAAGATCGAATTCATCTGAGTGAATACTTAGACAGCCAGAAGCAAGACCCCTATCCTCTCTCCCAAGCACAATGTGCTATGTGCCTTGCCAAGTACACGGCAACATACAGTCAGCAGGGTTCAGGGGCCAGAACCTTGTGGGGCCCAAGAGAAAAGGAGGTATGCTGCATTTCTGGCAAAGGAAGGCGGAGTGACAGACCAAGGAACACTGTTCAGTTGACCAAGTGACTTGATTCATTTGTCTGAATTCTAATCACATTCCAGAGATTTTTCACCTGTTTGGTAAGTTCCAGAAAAGCCTTAGAGAGTTTCTGGTAGTAACCTTCTGTGGTTGCCTTTCCATACTGGCCACCAGTATTTCGACAATACACCATGTAGTGCAACTGGGGTGTTGTTAACAAGCCATAATCTGTCACAAAAACACAAAAGCAATTCACCACATTTCTTAGAGAGGAAAAAAAGGTTAAATGCATTCATACTGTAGAAATCTCAGGGTGACAAATCCTTTTTTAACTCATCTCAGATAGCTCAGAAAGCACAGAAACACTAACTTTCAAACTATCCAGATACACAAATTTCCAATGAAATCATTATTACTCAGTTCTAAAAGAAATATTAACTACTATTAATAGCAAAACAATCATGTTGTATAGACAGATAACAATGCAAATATAAAACAATATAGAAAAGCAATAATTGAGTTGTTTCTGGAAACACTGCAAGCTACATAATTCAGATGAATCCTCCTCCTGAAAACAACCAAAATACTACATAAAAGAGAAAAATCTCTTTTTTAAAAAACTGCAGTGCTGACAAGTTATAAAATTATCAGGCCAAAATACACATGGAAGGCAGTAACTCTAAGATGTGAGCTTAAGGGATGCCGGTTCTGCTCTGAGGACATTCCTCTAAACTAGAAATTGAGCGAAAACGTCCATGCTAGGCTAAGATGTGAAACCCTGGAGAAAACCGGACCCTTGGGAAGCTGAACCCTCCAAGGACTAGAGCTTCAGTATAATATAAAGGTGAGTCAACCCAAGACACCACTCCCAGGACAGCTGTCTTGACACTGAGCAGTGTCAGGCAGAAACTCATTTCTGAAGAACTGTCCCCACAGGCCTAGGCCTGCCATGAACTACCAGCCCAAACACACAAAACGACAGGGCTCCGAGGAGCCTCTTCATGAATGCGCCTCAGGCAGACCCAGCCAGGCAGGGCTCCCGGCACCCAGCAGAAGCAAACCCCGAACGCTTCAGGGGCAACGAATGTGCCGTCATCATAACCCTCAAACACATCCCCCAGCAATCTTCCCAGAAAAGCCAAGCAGCTTACAGTCCAGCATAGTCAAACACATAAGAAGTGCACCAAGAGCAAAAAGACCAGAAAAATGCATGGCAGAGATAGACCAGTATCCACTAAGCCGACATTCAGTGACTAAATCTGTCAGTGGACTTGAAGCTCAAACACAAGCAACTGGACTGGAGGTAAACAGCAATCCTCTGAAGGTCTTGAGCCCTGCAGTTATACGCCACCAAGGGCGTTTTATGAAGACAACCTTGGTTCTGGTACCAGATGCGATGGGAGGAGAAGGGGAAGCTCAAAAATGTAAAGAAGAGCCTGACCAGTTTAATGGCCATGTTCAAGACGAAACCATGACCCAAAAGACAGGCTAGAGGAAGAAACAAAGGACCTCGTGACCACTATCCAAACAACCAAAGAAACCTTCACCAAATGATGACAGTAAGGACTCCACAAAAAGCATCTTCTGTTCACCTGATTAACCCAGAAAGCTAGAAGGTGCTCTCCACAGTTTTGTTCTCACCATACCACAAAGTCTTTCTTATTTCAATACTAATTTCAAAAGTGGTCCAGCTGGTCTCTTTTCCGCTCTTGCAGCCTTCCTTTTCCTTCTCTACACAGCAGAGTAGCTTGAAGTGAAGAAGTGATCACACTATCCTCTGACATCAAGTCCCCCAGAGGCATCCTACTGTATCTGGAGCAGAGTCCAAGCCCTTGGAGTCCATGACCCACCAGGCTTGGCACGATCTGTATGTAAACTGTGTGGTCACTTCCCTCCCTGCTGTCCTCTGGGTCTCCCCAGCCTCCCTATGCTGTTTACCTTGCATTTCCTGCATTCACTAAGTTGGAGAGAGAAAGATTAAAAATCACTCTCAGTTTTTCTAGACAAAAGCACTAGAAGGACCGATGGGTACAGAGACAGAAAGAGAAGGCTGGAAAGTCCAACCATTCTGGGGATGCTAGAAGGAATACCGTCTTAGGCGGGTGAGTCCAGCTTGGGGCAGGCCACCTAAGGAAAGACACACCAACACCAGTACTTTGCAAACCGCAAGCCACAGCCTATCAGTGAGACATGGAATTGAGCCAGTGAGGCACAGTCAGCACTTCTGCACTTAAAAAGATGAATGCAGCCAGGCTCAGTGGCTCAGCCTGTAATCCCGCGCCTTTGGGAGGCTGAGGTGAGTGGGTGGCCTGAGCCCACGGGTTCGAGACCCGCCTGGGCAGCAAGACCTCATCTCGACAATAAATCAAAACATCAGCCGGGCGTGGTAGCGCATGCCTGTAGTTCCGGCTACTCAGAAGGCGGAGGCGGAAGGATCGCCGGAGCCCAGCAGGCGAGGTTGTGGTGGCCGGGAGTGGCCACTGCACTCCAGTCTGGGTGACCGAGTGAGACTCCAACTCAACAACAACAACAAAAAAGATGTACGCAAGTCACGTAGCATGGGCGAGCACTGTTTATTGAAACTCCTGCTTCGGTTCTATACATAAGCGTGCACGCGCACCATGATACCAAATGGGCTGCTCACCATGGGTTATGATGCACAGTGAAACAGAAACAGACTGGTGGAGGGGTCCATGCAATAGGCAGTCAAAACGTTTTTTGTTTGAGTTGTCCAGACTGGAGTGCAGTGACACAGTCACAGCTCACAGCAGCCTCAACATCCTGGGTTTTGACGATCCTTTCACCTCAGCCTCCTGAGCAGCACATGTCACCATGCCCAGCTAACTGTTTTCATTTTTTGTAGAGACGGGGTCTCGCCATGTTGCCCAGGCCGGTCTCAAACTCCTGGGCTCAAGCAATCCTCCCAACTCAGCCTCCAAAGTGCTGGGATTACAGGTGTGAGCCACCACATCCAGCCTAAAGACGCTTGAAGAGTGAACAAATGAACAAAGAAAGGTGGCCAGAACTACGGCAACAGAGATGGTCTCTCCAAAGTCATGTAGAACACGAGAGAGAACAGGACGCCCTCACCAAGAGAGACAGGAGAGAAGCCAGCAGCAAGACCAATGAAGAACAGTGGCCGAGCAAATACACGCCTGAAGGAAGATGGGATTAACAGTCACAAAGATCCGTCGGGGACGGGGAAGCGCCTCTCATCAACAGGGTGCCTGAATGAAACGTACTTGCACGCCTAACCCTTAACTGTGCCCCACAAAACCATAATAAAAAATATTTAAAAAAAGAAAGAAAGAAAGAAAAAGGGTTTCAACAGTATGGAAGGTCACACACTCCAACTGAAATGAAAACCGCAAGGCACAAGTTCCTGAAGCTATGGCCAGGTCACCGACCCCTCGGCGTGCCTGACGACAGCGATGCATCCTCTCCCTGGAGAAGTGCTGCTTGTGCAGGCAACACTGCACGCAGAATCCAGGGCCCCGGTGTCCCTGCAGAACCAGAGGCTCCTCAGACATCTCGGCCCCAGGCGAAGAATCCCCACTTGACAACATCCACCCGACTTGGCAATCAGAATGAGCGTGGGGGAGATACTGTTTCCCCAGAGAGGTGAGGACAGAGAGACCAGCAGAAGGTGAGAGAATGACCAGAAGTGAAGAAACAGGGAGCAGAGCCAGCTCTGAGAAGGGCTGGCTGAACAGAGAAGGGGGAATGCAGCTGCAGTTGCAGACAAGATTTCAAAGGCCAAGAGAGGATTTCTGTTTTGAGAAAGATCTCACACCAGGAAAACAGTCACCTCAAAGCACAGCGTAGACAGCTAATTGTTTTCATTTTCTGTAGAGATGGGGTCTTGCCATGTTGCTCACAACAGGCATAACCAATGTGAGAAGAGGATCCCAGCCTTGGTTTTGTTCCATTTAATTCTCTGCCATTTGGTAAAATAGGAAGAGCCGCCTGTCAAGAATATTTTCCGTCACTATTTGACAGGTAACTGCTGATTCCACATGTGCACCTGTTAGGGAACACCAACTATTGACAAAAGCTCCCCCAAATGAACACCGTCAAGTAACTTCAAAGGTGTTTAATCTCAGGATTCAGGCTTACTAGTTGCCCTAGTTGTATTAACTTACAAGTCAGGATAACTACATACCATGGACTTGACCTCCTAAAACAGTCACGCCATCTATTACAGATTGTGAGAGTTTCTCACTGCTGGGCCTAAGGAAAGAAAAGGAAGAGAATAATATATCCCATCTAAAACCAACAGAGTTGCTGGCTCTGCAAGCAAAGGCAGAAATTATGTGCTACAAATTTCAAAATAATCAGTTCAATGTTTCTGAACTGAATGCTATTAACTCTGAAAACACAGGTAAACTATAAGCATTTTCCAGCATCCTTCCACGATCTACATCTTGGAAAGATGTTGGCTTTTAAATGAATGTAGAAAATAGATATAAAAGATACCCTAACTATACCATACCCAAATACCTTTCCAAATTTGACTACAGCAAAACACACATTTTCTAAGAATAGTAACAATAAATACTGAACACACAGTGTGTGAAATGCAGTGCTGGGCATTAAACCTCGAAGAATACAGAGCCTATTTCCCATTTTATTTTGTTTTATTTTATTTTATTTTTTTTTTTTTGAGTTGGAGTCTCACTCTGTCGCCCAGACTGGAGTGCAGTGGCCGCTCCCGGCCACCGCAGCCTCGACCTGCTGGGCTCCGGCGATCCTTCCGCCTCAGCCTTCCAAGTAGCCGGAATTACAGGCATGCGCTACCATGCCCGGCTGATTTTTTGATTTATTGTAGAGATGAGGTCTCACTGCCCAGGTGGGTCTCGAACCCGCGGGCTCAGGCAATCCACTCACCTCAGCCTCCCAAAGGCGCGGGATATTTCCCATTTTATAAAGTCAGAACGAATTATTTCTCTATCCTAAAACCCTAAAACAAAGCAGATCGTTGTAAAACTGCCTTGTAGAAAAAGAAAAGATGTTTTGTCACTTAAATTAGCTAACAGGGAAGAGCCAAAGACATACATGGGATGGCTTTACTGTGGGATAATTTGCTGCAGAACGTAAGTCACTAGCATGTCTCTGCTACCTATAAATCTACAATCAGCAGTACTTGGAAAACCCTCTGATAACACAACAGAGAGTAAAGACCAGTTCAAGCCATGAGGAGGATAAGTGGAAATTTCACTTTGAAGGAATCTCTGGATGAAACCAGATCTTATGTAAAAGAGAGTGCTACCGTTTCAAAGTATACTTTTAATCTACCATTTTACAAAAACCTATCTTTTTGTAAAGGAAGGCAAAAGCTATAAAATATAACAAGTATTTGGCAATTAATATAGTTTTGTTGTTTTCCAATGAACTCCAGCATGGGGACATGACATAAATATTTGAGGCAATAACAACATATATTAAAAGTAAATCTTTAAAAATAATTAGTTAGCCGGGCTCGGTGGCTCAGCCTGTAATCCCGCGCCTTTGGGAGGCTGAGGTGACGTTTATTAAGTGCTTCTCTGTGCCAGGAAATAAGAATTTTGCATATATTGTTTAATCCTCACAGAAACCCTGTGACAGGCCTTATCAACATTTTACAGATGAGGAAATGGAAGCTCCACAAGGTGAAGCGACCAGCTCAAATCATGTGGTAGAGCCACAGCTCAGCCGCACGTCAGATTCCAAAACCCAAGTGCAGTGGTGAACTTGCACTGACATCTACTAAACGGGCCAGGCAAACAGAGAGTTCCACTGCACTTCTTTGCATCTGTTTTGGGGACTCAGACTGATGCAGCTATTTACACCAGGAACTCATACGGTCACCTGGTGTCTCTGCCAATAACCACGAAGGCCTCCTGCTGCAGGTCCACAGCTTCCTTCTCAAGGATGTTAGCGAGCACCCTCAGTATCTCTTGCTCCTCAGCATTGGCTAAGCAGGTGGCATGTTCCTCCCAGGATGGTGCCAGCATTTCACCCAAAGGATCAACCAGTTTTACACCATTGTCTTCCTTAAAGAAAAAACAAACAATGATCAATCTGGGCATATGTGTGAAAATGAGGTGAGAAAGCAGAAAGCACGCTGTTCCCACAACAAGGCAGTGATGGCTGGGCAGCCCCAAAACTTACACCAGATGTCAGTGCCATAGCCCAAGTGAGCTGTATTACCTGGATCACCACATTAAACCCTCATGACACAGGTACTGATTTAGCTAATAGTCCTAATGTCAGTCCAATCTTAAGAAAACAGATTCAGAAAGGTTAGGTAGTTTGCTTATGACCATACAGCTAACAAGAATCAGTGCTGATATTAAAACATCAAGTCTACTTGACTCAAACCTCACAACCGCTATGCCACACTCACTTTTTTAAAAGGCTGTCACTGTGCCTTCACTAACGACAAACTGACTAGGGCACAACTGGAGCAGAATGAGGTAGCGAGCGATCCCTCTCACTATGACTCTGAACTCCAAGAAAATACTGACCAGCTTGTCAGCCAGTAGGGGGCACAGAAACTGAACACTGATTCCCAGCACTGTTCTGCTCAAACTCCTAGAAAGAAATAAGGTGTAGCTCAGAGTGGACGTCAACTGAAACAGCTCAGCGTTATCTTGAGTTCTTCTGTAACTAGCAATGAACACAGGGCTCTCCCTACAGGTCATGAATCAATTATGGGGACTCCTACATTTAGACACTTACACATTTATAGGGACACACACTGAGAAGCTGGACAGGCACCGTCCTTGTTTGAGGGGAGAGGTGGTCCAAGCCTTCAGTGACCTACATAGATTTAACTTGCTGCTGATTTAGCCACAAACGAAGAAAATCTCACGCCCCAGCAGTTAAACAGAAGCATATTATTCAAACCCTGTATTACTGGATATAGGCAATACAGAATAGTCACACGGTGCCAAAAGGTTAGCCAACTAAATAAACAACCCAAGTGCGCGTAAAGGGATGAATGAATGAATGAAGAAAATGTGGTATAGATACACAATCAGGTGTTGCTCAGCCTTAACGAAGACATAACTATTACCACGTGCAACAACATGCACTAGGAGGGCATCACCTCAGTGAGATAAGTCTGACGCATGAAGACAGACAATGCAGGCTCACTTCTACCTGGAATCTACAAAAAGTGGAACTCGGTCAGGCACGGTGGCTCAAGCCTGCAATCCCAGCACTTTGGAGGCCAAGGCGAGAGGACTGCCTGCGTCCAGGGGTTCGAGACCAGCCTAGGCAACTTGGTGAGAGCTCATCTCTCTAGTAAATGAAAAGAAAATTAGCCAGGCGTGGTAGCACACGCCTGTAGTTCCAGCTACTTGTAAGGCTGAGGCGGAAGAATCACCTGAACTCACCAGGTCGATACTGGGGTGGCTGTGAGCACACCACTGCTCTCCAGCCTGGACAACAGCATGAGACTCTGACTCAAGGGAAAAAAAAAAAGTGGAACTCACAGAAACCAGAGGCTGGAGCTGAGGGAAATGGGGAGATGTTGGTCAAAGCGTACAGACTTGCCATTATGGGTAAGTTCTAGAAGACTAATGTTCAGCATGGTGACAGTTAATAATGTATCCTATACTTCACATCTGTTGAGAGTAGACCTTTAAGTACTCTCACTACAGGGGGAAAAAAAAACATTAACTATGCCAGGTGATGCACTGTTAATTAGCTTAATTGTGGTGATCATTTCACAGTGCATACATACTCAAAACATCATGGTGCACACCCTGAAGATATACAATTTTTGTCACTTATACTTCAATAAAGCTGAAAAAATAATTATGTCAAAATGAATCCTTTGATTAAAATCTTAACTGTCACAAAGACTAGATCCACCAGGCCTCATCAGCATTCTGCCCAGAGTTCAGTTTTAGATCCCTGGACCTACCTGTTTGGCTGTTCATTCAAAAGAGAAAGCTATTACCTAGCTATTAAAAACATTCAAAGACTTTCAAAAATGAGTCTTTTCAAATGTCTACCCTTCCCCCAAGCCATCCCCAATCTCTCTGTCCACTGCTAAGTTAACAGAGGAAACAAACACTTTTTCATTACTAATAATGTCTCAATTTGACCAACTTGGAAGGACATTCTGTTATTTCTCTAATATGGCCACACCCCCCAAAATGATAGTCTCGTTTCATTCTCTCTAGCGAGTCATGAGCTAAATGATTACTCTTAAAAAAAAAAGTTGTTTCACATCCAAAGGCACATATAAGTGAGAAGGCACATTCCTAGAAGGAGAATTTGTACTTTGGGTACAAAAAAAGGGGGGGTTGCTATATCAGAGCACTAAACTTATTACCTCGGGATTGTGTGACGCTGTCACCATGACTCCTAGTGTGGACTTTGTCTGTTTTGACCTCAGGACAGCTAATAATCCCATTCGAAACATGACGTGATCAAGATGCTCTGCCTCTGCTCGAAACCCAGCAGTCCCGTATTGAAGGATGAGTCCACTGGGCTTGGCATGTAATGTTGAGTGTTTTGCAATCGTACCTAAATCCATGTCTACAAAATCAAGAAATGTTGTTTCAGGCACAACAAGAAATCTCTCAAGGATCATCCGCTTCAAAAACTGCCACCCCGCACGACCAGGCCGGCCTCATTCTGAACCTCTCCCGGAACCCTACGTGAAAGAGAGCAGAGCGCAGCAGAATAAGTTCTGCGGTTGGAGTTGCCTAGCAGAGCCTGCGGTGCTCGGGCTGTCTAGTCCCGGGCAGCTGCCAGGCGGAAGCCAGCCTGCCCCAACTCATCGCTCATTTTAGCTCCGGGACGGAGGGAGACTTCAGGTGGGCCTCTCTGATTTTAGGAGGGAGACTTCAGGTGGGCCTCTCTGACTGTAGGAGGGAGACTTCAGATGGGCCTCTCTGATTGTAGGAGGGAGACTTCAGATGGGCCTCTCTGATTGTAGGAGGGAGACTTCAGATGGGCCTCTCTGATTGTAGGAGGGAGACTTCAGGTGGGCCTCTCTGATTGTGGGAGGGAGACTTCAGGTGGGCCTCTCTGATTGTGGGAGGGAGACTTCAGGTGGGCCTCTCTGATTTTAGGAGGGAGACTTCAGGTGGGCCTCTCTGATTGTAGGAGGGAGACTTCAGGTGGGCCTCTCTGATTGTGGGAGGGAGACTTCAGGTGGGCCTCTCTGATTTTAGGAGGGAGACTTCAGGTGGGCCTCTCTGATTGTAGGAGGGAGACTTCAGGTGGGCCTCTCTGATTGTGGGAGGGAGACTTCAGGTGGGCCTCTCTGATTGTGGGAGGGAGACTTCAGGTGGGCCTCTCTGATTTTAGGAGGGAGACTTCAGGTGGGCCTCTCTGATTGTAGGAGGGAGACTTCAGGTGGGCCTCTCTGATTGTGGGAGGGAGACTTCAGGTGGGCCTCTCTGATTGTGGGAGGGAGACTTCAGGTGGGCCTCTCTGACTGTGGGAGGGAGACTTCAGGTGGGCCTCTCTGATTGTGGGAGGGAGACTTCAGGTGGGCCTCTCTGACTGTGGGAGGGAGACTTCAGGTGGGCCTCTCTGACTGTAGGAGGGAGACTTCAGATGGGCCTCTCTGATTGTAGGAGGGAGACTTCAGATGGGCCTCTCTGATTGTAGGAGGGAGACTTCAGGTGGGCCTCTCTGATTGTGGGAGGGAGACTTCAGGTGGGCCTCTCTGATTTTACACCTACGTTCAGAGACTCCAAAGTCCAGGATCATCTCGTCTGACAAAAGGGAAACAAAACTAAGTTAACGCGGGAGACGGCGAGCCGAGGTCAGATTCACGGGTGACGGCATCCGGGAAACCCACGTCGCTCTTCCGTGACTTCCCCCAGGCCACAGAGACAGTCCCGGGCAGAAGCCAAGGCCGGCCGTCCCTTCTCCAAGACGCCCCCGTGAAAGGCCTCCTCCGTTTCACAGGGAGAGTCCGGACACGCTCCGAGGGGAAGCTCCGAAGCCAGGGGCGCCTCCGTCCTAAGGAAGGCCACTTCCGCCTCGAGCCCCGAACACCAGACACCGGCCTCCACCCCACACGGCCGGCACCCTCCCGTCGAAGGAGCGGGCCGCGGCCAGGCCCACCGCTCCGGGCCCGCACGCTGGTGTTCGCTGCCGTCGTCCGTTCCTGCAACCGGCAAGGCTTAAGCGGGAACAAAGGTCGCTTCCGCCCAGCGGGAGAGGCCGGCGCTCGGCCGGCCGCCGCAGCTCGGCCCCGCGGGCAACTCTCTCTCGCGAGGACGACTCCGTTCTGGACACACTGACCCGTCGGGAACGGCCCGCGATGACGCGTCAGGGCGTCCGGCGGGCCTGGGTCATCCGGAAGGCCGGGGGCA